AACATTTCCGAATCTATATATATTGATAACTTAAAGCGATAGACTATGTAATGATGTGGAATCTATATATGTTGACAACTAATAGTGGTAGACTATATAATATTGTAAAATCTATATATATTGACAACTAATAGTTTTAGACTATGTAACACGGCGGAATCTATATATATTAACAACTAATAGTGATAGACTATGCAATATGGTGGAATCTATATATATTGACAACTAACAGTGTTAGACTGTATAGTATTGTGGAATCTAAATATATTTACCACTAATAATGGTAGACTGTGTAATATGGCGGAATCTATATGTATTTATAACTGACAGTGGTAGACTATGTAACATTGCCGAATCTATATATATTGATAACTAATAGTGGTAGACTATGTAATATTGCGGAATCTCTATATATTGACATCTAATAATGGTAGACTATGTAATATTGCGGAATCTTTTGTATATTGACAACCAACAGTGGTACACTATGTAACATTGCCGAATCTATATATAATGATAACTAATAGTGGTAGACTATGTAATATTGCGGAATATATATATATATCGATAACTAATAGTGGTAGACTATGTAACATTGCGGAATCTACCTATATTGATAACTAATAGTGGTAGACTATGTAATATTGCCGAATCTATATATATATTGATAATTAATAGTGGTAGACTATGTAATATTGCGGAATATATATATATCGATAACTAATAGTGGTAGACTATGTAATATTGCGGAATCTTTTGTATATTGACAACTAATAGTGGTACACTATGTAATATTGTGGAATCTATATATATCGACAAGTAATGGTGGTACACTATGTAATATTGTGGAATCTATATATATCGACAAGTAATGGTGGTACACTATGTAATATTGTGGAATGTGGAGTTTATATATACTGACAACTAATAGCGGTAGACATCAGAAACTGAGGAGTGCGCAAGCATTAGTACTGACAAAAATAACAAGGATACTAGATAATGTTGTTGTTCTAATGGTAATAACGACAATAGGAATAGCTGTTGAATGCTGGAATATCTGGAAAATATGATAGGAAGATAGGGAGAACCGTGGTGTCTGTAATTAAAAAAATAATTTGAAGTTAATAAGGGCTTTAGGATTGGTAAATTTCTCTAATTAACAATAATAAGAAATAGGGGTATTTTATATTAAATCAACTTGTATATTTGAATGTATTTATGTCCCGCTAACCCCTCCAATTGTATTGGATCTAGCAGGGCTAAACTTGGCAGGTGGGATCATGTGGCCTGGGGCTGTCTTTATCTATATAATGTACTTGTAACAAGGGGGACTAAACGCTCAGAAGTTCACCCAGGCATGATGAAGGTCTAAGATAGGTTTTTAGGGTCGTTTAACCCGAATCTGGAATCGGATTTTGTGTTTCTGTCCCCCCTTGATTCATACTCCCACTTACAAAATAGTGGAATTAAATTTGGCACAAGTACTCAGGTACCATGAGTGAGCGTCCTAGCGATTTTATTTTCAGGTGTGCCCCACCCCCTTGGTGTAGGAAAATATGTAACTGGGGATAAAGGAGGAGGTTGATCGCAACACTGAGGTCTTTGTTGATCACGAGGAGGCCTTTGAACCCCGCAGCGAGCGCAGGTATTTTTGGGTAGTCTGTAAAAAACAATGCTAGGAAGTTAGGGAGTGCTGTGGTACTGCATAAATAATGAGATTAAATATAGAGAGCGCTTTTAAATTTGTAAACAGCAAGAGTAGTAAGTAAACAGTGCTGTGCTGCCTGTCTATCTATCTAGTCTGCTATATTATCATTAACCGGATCAAGTGATTTATTCACTTTTTCCTGTTTTTTGTTTGGTTCCTTTTTCAAGTTCAATAGCCAGCCCTTCAAAGCTTTTTTATTTAGCGATAAATTTTTTCCTAATACTTGTTTGCTTACTTTTTTTTATAAGATGGCGTACGTGGGTTATTAGGTTATAGAGTGTACTCTAAAGCTTTATAAATCTTACATAGAATAGTAATAAAATAGGTGGTCAAAGATCGTGAAGACTGATTTGCTCTATCAAATAATGACAAAATTATAGTTGCTGATAGAACTAGGTAGGCGCTAGGCCTGTTGAAGAAAGAGGATGATTAACGATAAAACTAAGGAATCTTGGTTTTGGTTATTCGCCGGTTTTCGACTTTGAAACGCTCTGGATAGCTGAAAAGAAGCATATACATATAATTAGCTCTCCATATCTAGCTTCTGATTGCCTATAGAGAAGAAAATCCAGATGTATTTTGTATTGCTTTAACATGGGTGTCCGTGCCATCCCTACACAGAGTTCTAGTGCACTCTCCGATATTTTCGTTTCGCCAATTATAAGCGGACACACAAACATACAGTTTTGTCAAATTGTGGATTAGATTTTAGTTAGACGATCTTTGTCACACTTTATGTTCTATACTAAAATCAAAAATATTAATAGCGTCATAATTTTATTATGCAGTATACATCTATGCATGTCCTTTTGGATTTTTGTTTGTTCCATTAAACACTTAGTGGTAAGTAAAGAAGTTTTTCTGACATAAATGTTCTAATATGTTGCAGGAATAACCTAAAGTACAAAAGCAAATTCGTCACTTAAATCTCCGATTTGTGGATACCCTTCACAGGTGATCAAATGTGAAAACTTACATATGATACTCTTTGAAATGAAGCACAACCTTACCGAACTATCGCACTGTGTAATTTGTTTTCGGTTACTTGCTCAACAATATCTAAAAATGAAAGACAAAAAACAGACAACTGTGGCGGGAAGATTATCGATACTTAAAAATGGAAATTATACTCAAGCTAACATCGCTCTTACAAAACACTATTCTGCAAACTAGCCAAACCAGCCAAAAGAAAAAGACATTTATTTTTTGATAACAAACTTGAATCTTGACATTAAGAGCTTCTGATTACAACCTTCAACATTTTTTCCATTGCCTACCTTATATCTAATATAATTATCTAAAAACAAATGTTTCTTAAATTGTAAAGAAGTTTGGCAATACAGCACTTGACAATGAACAACAGTATTAAAAAAAGTACATATTCATGCAAATACAGACGTAATTGATTAACTATTTACTATCTGCTCAACACTATAGCATTTGGCCAAATAAATGTAAATGTAATGTTTTAATAACTTAGTATAAAATTCCAAACCTAAATACATTAATCCAAGCTGACTATTGTATTCTCAAAATAACTCGATATTAATCGCGTGTTTGTAAGAAGTCAAGAAGAACATTAACAGGGCTTTGAATAAAAAACAAACAAACTTGGAGTTGAGTTTTCAATCGCGTTTGCTTCCCAGCGCCCTCTTCTGGAACCTTTTACTGTAATGAAATTAAAGCTTGGAAGTGAACAATTTAGGCTATAAGTCTTAAGGGATATGAAGGTCCAGAATTAAGTTGCGGTTTTTATGGATTCTCTAAACTCTACTTCAGTTGACCGCGGCGACTCAGCGGTAAAGCTGAGGGTTTATAACACCAAAAATTAAGTTTCGATACATGTGATGGGCAAAGCAAAGAAAGCCCATTTTGTAGCTTTGCCCTTAACAACAAATAGACAAACAAAACCTACTTCATCTTTCAAATGTGTAGTATATCAGTTAATTTATCATTCGAAAAGTAAATATATACTGTATTTATAAGAATTCATCAAAAGAAATATTATAGCTTTTATATGCGGAAACATCTGTTAGCTGAATTCTTGCACAGTTCTTGGCTGAGTTATTGCACAGATTGTGGCTGAGTTCTTGGCGAAAAGCTTCAGCAGATATTTCCTTTGCAACATCTCA